CAACAAGATGCTCCTTTCCTTTCTGTGTAATAGTCCAGAGGCTGCTCCATGTAGATCTCTTCATCCAGTGTGCCATTGAGAAACGCATTGACTCATCCATCTGAGGAACGATCATGTCGTTTGGACAGCGTAGGCCTGAGGAGACGACGCAATTGAGGAAAAACGAACCACCGAAAACGTCTCGTCGTAGTCAACTCCATAATTGTTGCGAGCATAGCCTTGGTGCTACCAATCGGCCTAAATCTCTCAACTGAGCCATCACTTCAACTACTCCCCCTTTTTGCCTTGAAAACCCACTTACATCTTACTCCGATAGGCTTTCTGTTACGAGGCACCGGTACTAGCTCCCAAGTCCAATTTCCATCAGTGCGCTGTACTCACACTCTGCTACTCTTTCCACTTCTCCTCCGAGAATTCACTTGCTAAGGCCTCTCCATGCCTTTGTGGTTCGGGAGCTGGGATGTATATCAGGCACATATGCTCACACTCATCAAGGCAGGTCTGCTTACTCATCTAACCCTACCTTACTGGGGGACACTCTGTATCGTGCTGAGCGTCTCGCAGATTTTCTGCTTCTCCTGGTCTCTCGTGCGGTCCCTTGTTTCCGGTTCGGTATCAACCTCTCACTCGTTTCTTGCTGTTGGTGACTTTCTCTGTGTTCGCTCTGAAACTCACTTTCGTGAAGACCACATCTCGCCGAGTGTAGATGTTTGATGTCTCCCTCGTCAAACTGAATCTGAACCTTTTGACTGAATGCTGTACCGCCTACAAACCGGAGTTATAGTGCCTTTTTAGCAGCTCTCGGCAATGTGCCATGCGGGTGGGCACATGAGCATACGCATCGGACCCATCCAAACAACCTCAAAGTGTGTGGATGTTGGGGCGCTTTCCATACCACATCTCATATGTGTCCTGACTGTGTTGTTGGTGTGCTGATTACCTAACCTAGGCTGCTGTGCATCGCTCTCCCCGCTCCGCCACGTAGCGGTCTGGCAGCCCTTCATGTGATCACAGTGGATCGACTGTCGCCAGCAGACTCCATCACAGTCCGTTCATCCTTTCCTTCGCTACACACCATTGTGTGTGTGGAGAGTGCGGGTACTGTCCAACTGATTGGATCAGCGCTCGAACTATCTTCTGAACTTTCTCTGGTAACTTCGGCCTTGCCTTTTCATGAAGAAGACTCTCTATAGCATCGGGAGTATCGTCAATGACGGTGACAAAAGACCGGCTCCCTTCAAGGGACCTTTTCGGTTGCGCATGGGCTACACCCTCACTGTGACCAGTTTGGTAGTCTTGCCCTTCAAGCGATTTCTCCTTCCACTGACTTGAATCCTTGTCTTGTTTATATCTTGCCCTCAATGCTCACAAAAAGACAACTTGCTTCAAACCCATCCGCTAGTCTCTTTGTGATGCCACGTCTCCGAGACGTGTGCCTCACATATTATGTGTGCTATCTGTAGTGCCACCGATCTATGCCACTAGCTCTGGTAGTTGTCAACGGATGCTTGCTCAGAGGGTACAGTCACACAGTCTAGAGCTGATCCACCTTTGTCAGATAGTGTCCCATTCCAGCCGCACTCGCGACGATCTTTCCCTGTCCTGAGCCAGCAACGCGAGTGCTCACATTTGAGTATATTTCCGTGGAATGCAGCGGGCCCGCCACTCACCGAAAAGAGATTGCAGGCGAGCCTGTGGAACATACAGCAACACTTGCTGACATGCATGCTTCTAGCTTTCTGACTCGCCTGCTCTCACCGCCTGCAGCTCCAGATCCCTTCATGGCGCTGTCTCTCCTTTACCAGAAGTTTGCGGCTTCTGTGCTGTGCTCAAATCTGTGCGTTCTTCCTTCTTGTTTGGGGCAGTCTCCTTGCGCAAGTGACGAGTTGACCCACCGAGGCTTCGATCTGTTCTGCTGCCCTAGGAGCGCCGCGTCTCCCGGTGTGCTGCGGTGCAGTTGGCTTTCGTAGCTCTGAGCTCTGCACCCCGCTGTACGTTCCTCGTGCACAGTGCTTGCTGGACGAAGTTGAGCGACAGGTCATCATCCATCGAGACTCAAGCGCTGTCACGAGTGTAGCGTAACTCAGTGGCAGGCTACGAGCAGCGTAACGCTTGATCCTCTTCGGATATGGCGCACCAATTGCAGCGAGTCGATCAGTCACACCTTTCATCTGCTTTAGATGTTTCTCAACTGAAGTACCTCCTTCATTTCTTGCGAAATGTACTGTTCTTCAGAAAGAGCTTGTTTGCAAGGTATCACGTTCGAAGTGTTTGCACAGAGCATCCATCGCTTCCTTCGGATGCTCACTTGACGCCAGAGTAGGGCTGAGAGTACCGATGGCAACATGATCGTCGAAAAGCCCTTCGACCTTTTCACGAACTCCGCTTGAGCAGCTGCCGTCGCATCGTCGTCTGCGAGCGCTTCCGTTCCATCGACGACGTCCAGAGCACCTTCGCCAGTAGCAGGTGTTTCATCTGAAATTCCAGGTCAGTTTGAGCCATCGTTGCCCCTTCCTATTTTCCTCCCCCTACCCTTGTTTGGGCATCTCACAGACTTGCTATGGTGTGGTCAACCTGGTCACTTTCGCCGAAGAATGCACAAGATCAACACACAAAGCACAAACTGCTGGTGAAGGAGAGACAGTACCGGAATGGACCGGAGCATCTGCAGGCAGTGAAGGCGAGTCAGAACTAGCATTGTACTACTGCATCACGTTCACTAGGTCATTCCTGTCTTGTCTCCTTCTGTATTCCACAGTTTTTGTAATTAGGAGAATCTTTTTATTTACTTTCCTCCTTTTCTTTTTCTACTGCATTCACATGAATGATGTCCATTATATTTTTGGCCCATGAAAATAGTGGCCTTAAGCTATCGCCTCAGACGCTTTGCCATCATTCACATTACGTCAGTGCACCAAGTTTCATTGGGAGAGGATCCATGATAAGCAAGTTATAGGCACTGAATATAGGTTAGATGCGGAGCCGAGGTGACTACGCGTGGTAGAGTGCCGAGGACTCCCGAGCTGTCGGCGTCCCGAGCGCAGCGAGGGCGCTACTAGGGAGCCCGAGGCACTCTACAACGCGTAGTTACCGTGGCGACGCGTCTACCCGGTTTAGATCCATTCAAACTGTTTGCGAAGATAATGGGCACGCCAGGCGAGCTGTTCAGCGACGAGATACTATCTTGTCTAGACGAGGAAGACTCCGAGAAGGAACTCGACATACTCATGCTCGCCGCTCTGCAGATACGTGCGCGTAGAGTGGGCGGAGCCCTTTTCCGCGAAACACGGCAGACGACGAGGGAGTGCTGTAGCTTTCGCATACCTTTTCTGGCTCGCCGCTGGTACCTGAAACCTCGCTCGAGTCTCTTACCTATCGCATCTTCACGCTCGCTCCCCAATAGATCCCGTCGTCCGGGGCAGCGGGATCTACGGAAAATAGATCCCGCGTTTGAAATTGCGCGATTTCAAATCACCGGGATCTAACACCATTTAAAAGTCTTTTTAAAACCTTGTAATTTTGTTTTTTTCAACCTTGTAATTTCTGTTTCGATGAACTCTTAATCATGGTGAATCATTGTACCATGTTTCATTGTTAGACGACCAACCACAAATTTAGAAAAAACACCATTAAAGAGTTTTTACTGACTTAGGCTGTTTGCTGTTGTTTACAAACTTGTAATGTTTACATTTTGATGCTAATGTTGGGCTGCAAGCGTGTACAAAGTTGTATCATTCTGGGTATTTACTCTACTTAGTTAGCACACTTTATCGCTTTATATTATCAAAATGTATGGGCAGAAGCTATTTTTTGTTGTTTTTTGTTGTTTAGAAACAAATTAAAACACGACCCTTGCATGCTGGGTCACGGATTCCAATCTTTGTGCAAAGTTTGATCTCCATATCTTAAGTGGTTATTAGATACGCTTGTCTAAACTGAACAAGAAGAAGAAGAAGAAGAAGAAAAAGAAAAAGAAAGAGAAGAAGCCATTTTTTGGATACATCTTGTTTGTGACGATACAGATCAGTCTGATGTGTTAAAAGGTGAATTTGATTAAAACTGCATAAACATGAAAATCTCAGATGTATGGTCATAATGCAGGACAACCTGTGTAATCCATACTAAGTACTACCGTACTTTGTCTGTCGGTATGTCGTGTAAGTGCGCTTGCATCAGGATTACGCGCTTCTTTTCATCCGAAATCATTTCAGACTTTTACACATTTTTACATTCCGCCTCGCGATTACGCCTATCTACTCAGCGAGAGAACTCTCCTCCATTCGACGGCATTCGCTGCGCTCTTCGGACACTCACCGAGCTGTACAACCTCTCCCAATCTTGGTTCGAAAGATTAACTTCGGAAATATGCTAGGATTGCTCGTGCAGATATAGTCACTTGGTGCGTCTCGCTCCCGCTCGCCATGTAATTCCCTGCATTCACCCTAGCCTATATATAACACTATTTATGTGTGGTAATGTGTTTTATGCAAAATTGGCGGCTTATCACTCCGTTGGAGAGCACTAATTAGAACAAGGACATAGTCGTGTTTACTGCATGGACCTTCAGCTATATAATCGGATTCAAGCCCACGTTTGAACTGTAGAACACCTGTAAGCTTCTCCAAGTACCAGACTCCCCTCGCGCAAGTCTGTAGTGCGTTACTAAACCTGCTTGCCTCTGGAGGATAGTTTGTGCCTTGTTGCAAGCTGTCATACAGCATTAGCTCAGTTGTTGTATTTAATTAGCCATCGTGATACAACGTGAGCAGCAACGTTTTCTGCCTTCTCAGTAAGTGATACAACGTTGTAGCACCGTACAACTACGCGCTTGCATGGGGTGTCCACGCAGTAACTAGTCTGTACCACGTGCTGCCACTACTGCCGACAGTGTACATTAATCAGTTCAACACATACTTCTCAGTCCACTACCTATTTAAACTGTGTGCATGTGACCAAAAGGAAGGATAAAAAGATAAATGCGGTGTTTCTTTAATTCTTACTGTTGTTACTGAGTCTCAGTTGGTTGCATACGACTCTAGCATCTGTTATGTCCCAACCGTCATCACACACAGTGCCCCACTCCTGAGAGACACAGACCTCCACTCTACCCTCATATTCCGTGTCTCCTCCCACCAGTCTCAGGTCACCATCTACACATGATTTATCTGCACAGATAATTCGAATGAATAAATCATACGTAAACACAAACATTTTGCATTCTTTTGGCGAGTGGAGCGAGCACCTTATCTGGAGCTAGTGTAACACAGCTTCAGCCCACACAGATTTAGTAAACAAGCAACCAAATGGCTGCGTAATGACATAAAAGTACTGAGAGACCGTTCTAATCAGAGTTCCTCTACAATCTCTTGGGTGATGGCTCAACTACGAGAAAGAGAAAAGTCCCAGAGATAGGTATATACATAGAGAGAAATAATTCACACTATAAGCTTGTAATATCCTGTTGGGGTCTCTTTCATTCCTCTTGTTGAGGCCCTGGGTGACCACCTCGTTGTCCAGAATTGGTAGCCTCCTAGGCCGGTGTTTAGGGGTCTCACCAGCAGACTGAATTTGTTAGCTCTTCAAGCACTGCTCTGTTTCTCTCTGGCGTGGTAATGCAGACCTTGGCTCCAATCAGTTCCCTATCGCCACCACTTATACTAACAGCATTATAGTTTCTCGACTTTACTATCCCTTTTTTGTATTGTGGTTTTTGCTCCTTTTCTCTTCTTCCCCTACTCCTTGTTTATTTTGTTTATTGTTGTTCACTGTATTATGTGTGTGGTCATGGATGTATGTGTACTCAGACAATCAACAGACACATAAATTCAATCGACAATCCAGTAGCCCAAGAAAGCTAAGGCAAACCTAAGTTTAAAACAAAGAAAGCCATAACTAGTGTGCGTTGTTAGGTATAATACCTCTTGGAGAACAGTAGACTCCTGCATCGTGATAATGATTACAATTATGAACAGAAATTTCATTGTGTTCACAATCAATCAGCCTCTCTTCATCCCCAGAGCAGTCCACATCGTCCAGAAAAATTGGTCCTCTGCCTATGCCATAGTCATAAGCATGACGCACCAGATATCCAGCTGGACAGAAAGAGATAGGTATAGAGAGAGAGTAACCACATAATGTTAAATTCTTCATACTGTCCCTTGGCCACAATGTTGGAAATGTGTGGAGCTACGTATCAGTGTGCTGACAAATAATGGTTCTTCTCAGGTGAATTAAGGTACGGGTCCAGCATTTTGGGCAGAGCATGAAAGTTCTTTGTTGCAGAAACTAGTCTATACCACTCGCTGCCAACTACCTGCCGAAAGTGTGCATTAATCAGTTAACCACATACTTCTCATTCCACTACCCTATTTAAAACTGCGTGCATGTGACCAAAAGGAAGGTTGAAAAAAGATCGATGCAGTGTTTCTGGGTGCCGTAGAAGCTCAAACACATTAGAACAGATCTTGAACCTTGAACGACTTTAGGCTGCTAGAGAAGAGTGTGTTTCTCACTGCATTGCTGGCATGGTGTGCAGCTAAAAAAGATTGCATGCAAGAGAAGTGCGCCTCTAGAAGTAAGGGCAGCTATGAGACAAGCTATAACCCTCCCTGTGCATGGTAACCAAGGGTCACTCACGCTCACCAAAAAATGCTTAGCATAACCTCTAGTATTAGAGGCATTGCAGAACGTGCATAAGCAACTGTATATGCAGCCCTCAACACATGAACTACTGCATACTCTCTTTGAAGGGTGGGGTAACCCCTCATAAAAGAAAAGAACAAAAGTGCAAAACTTCAGTGGCTTGCGTGTATCGAGTATTGCACCTACACGCATGCGCAGGTAACTCTTGCTAGTTGATAAGCTGGGCTATGCTGTTGATGTACACGTGGACTCTTGCTAGCTTTGGCATGGGCTAGCAGCATGGCAGGACTTGACTCTCGACCAACATCGATTGTAACTTCTGATCCCAACACAGTATGCAAAATAGGCAGAATGCATGTCATTGGCTTGTTAACTTGGTGTTCCCGCTCTTTCCAAAAGATAGTAAGGGTATTTGGCACTTCACTCTATATACTCTGGAGGTGTGTGAGGTCCAACAAGTACTTTTGAATTCTTACTGTTGTTACTGAGTCTCAGTTGGTTGCATACGACTCTAGCATCTGTTATGTCCCAACCGTCATCACACACAGTGCCCCACTCCCGAGAGACACAGACCTCCACTCTACCCTCATATTCCGTGTCTCCTCCTACCAGTCTCAGGTCACCATCTACACATGGTTCATCTGCACAGAATAATTCGAAGAAATAAATCATACGTAAACACAAATATTTTGCATTCTTTTGGCGAGTGGAGCGAGCACCTTATCTGGAGCTAGTGTAACACAGCTTCAGCCCACAAAGATTTAGTAAACAAGCAACCAAATGGCTGCGTAATGACATAAAAGTACTGAGAGACCGTTCTAATCAGAGTTCCTCTACAATCTCTTGGGTGGTGGCTCAACTACGAGAAAGAGAAAAGTCCCAGAGATAGGTAGCTATATACAATGAGAGAAATAATTCACACTATAAGCTTGTAATATCCTGTTAGGGTCTCTTTCATTCCTCTTGTTGAGGCCCTGGGTGACCACCTCGTTGACCAGAATAACCTCCTAGGCCGGTGTTTAGGGGTCTCACCAGCAGACTCAATTCGTTAGCTCTTCAAGCACTGCTCTGTTTCTCTCTGGCGTGGTAATGCAGACCTTTGGCTCCAATCAGTTCCCTATCGCCACCACTTATACTAACAGCATTATAGTTTCTCGACTTTACTATCCGTTTTTTGTATTGTGGTTTTTGCTCCTTTTCTCTTCTTCCCCTACTCCTTGTTAATTTTGTTTATTGTTGTTCACCGTATTATGTGTGTGGTCATGGATGCATGTGTACTCAGACAATCAACAGACGCATAAATTCAATCGACAATCTAGTAGCCGAAGAAAGCTAAGGCAAACCTAAGTTTAAAACAAAGAAAGCCATAACTAGTGTGCGTTGTTAGGTATATACTTGTTGGAGAACAGTAGACTCCTGCATCTTGAAAATGATCACAATCACGAACAGAAATTTCATTGTGTTCACAATCAATCAGCCTCTCTTCATCCCCAGAGCAGTCCACATCGTTCAGAAAAATTGGTCCTCTGCCTATGCCATAGTCATAAGCATAACGCACCAGATATCCAGCTGGACAGAAAGAGATAGGTATAGAGAGAGAGTAACCACATAATGTTAAATTCTTCATACTGTCCCTTGGCCACAATGTTGGAAATGTGTGGAGCTACGTATCAGTGTGCTGACAAATAATGGTTATTCTCAGGTGAATTGAGGTACGGGTCCAGCATTTTGGGCAGAGCATGAAAGTTCTTTGTTGCAGAAACTAGTCTATACCACTCGCTGCCAACTACCTGCCGAAAGTGTGCATTAATCAGTTAACCACATACTTCTCAGTCCACTACCCTATTTAAAACTGTGTGCATGTGACCAAAAGGAAGGATAAAAAGATAAATGCAGTGTTTCTTTAATTCTTACTGTTGTTACTGAGTCTCAGTTGGTTGCATACGACTGTAGCATCTGTTATGTCCCAACCGTCACGACACACAGTGCTCCACTCCTGAGAGACACAGACCTCCACTCTACCCTCATATTCCGTGTTTCCTCCCACCAGTCTCAGGTCACCATCTACACATGGTTTATCTGCACAGAATAATATTGGAGGAAATAAATCATGAGTACACACAAATATTTTGCATTCTTTAGGCGAGTGGAGCGAGCGCCTTATCTGGAGCTAGTGTAACACAGCTTCAGCCCACACATATTTAATAAACAAGCAACCAAATGGCTGCGTAAAGACATAAAAGTACTGAGAGACCGCTCTAGTCAGAGCTGTCACAAGTGATAATCCTCTACAATCTCTTGGGTGATGGCTCAACTACGAGAAAGAGAAAAGTCCCAGAGATAGGTATTATACATAGAGAGAAATAATTCACACTATAAGCTTGTAATATTCTGTTGGGGTCTCTTTCATCCCTCTTGTTGAGGCCCTGGGTGACCACCTTGTTGTACAGAATCGGTAACCTCGTAGGCCGGTGTTTAGGGGTCTCACCAGCAGACTCAATTCGTTAGCTCTTCAAGCACTGCTCTGTTTCTCTCTGGCATGGTAATGCAGCCCTTTAGCTCCAATCAGTTCCCTATCACCACCCCTTCTACTAACAGCATTATAGTTTCTCGGCTTTATTATTTTTGGTTTTGCCTTTTTTATATTGTGTTTATTTGCTCCTTTTTCCTTTTATGTTTCATCTCTTCTCCCCTTGTTTATTTTGTTTATTGTTGTTCACTGCATTATGTGTGTGGTGCTAAACTTAGAGGCCTGATAGAGAAGGGACCATCGTTCAGGGAACAGAACTGCATTAACTGGAGTATTAATGAGAGCTTGTGTAAGGAGGCAGTAGCTAAGTATAAACGTAAATGGTCGCGGAAGGAAAGAGTCGACATAAGAGCATTAAACGAATGGGAATGCAAGGTCAATGGAAAGAGGATAAGGTCACTTAGGACGTAGACATACAAATAGAACAAGGATGCATATTCTTCGAAGTAGAAAGCAATATACAGCAAGATTAAGGATGGCCCATCGCTAGAAAAATAACCAACAGTATAGGAAATGTAGAGCTGACTGCCACGCTATCAACGCAGAGCATAATTGTACATGATACTATAATTCTGCAGTATTATACAATTTCTTACAGCATTCTCTCTCTCTGTTATCATCAATAGTAACTGTTGTAGTAGATAATAATGGATCGATG